TTAGCAAGTCATTTCTTCGTAAATTTTTGCAGTGTGCTTAGAGTCATTATCTTTTTGAAAGATCCAATCAGGAGAAAGTTCAAGATTTTCAACCGAAATCATTAAATTTGCTTCCAAAATATTTTGATATGCTGCGGCATTCATTCTACCATCTATTATTAATATGTTGCCAGTACCTTTTGCAGAAAAACATCCCCAAACCATGATGCGGTCACCACTATATTTCACTGTTAGAAATGTGTTCTTTTGCTTGAAGGCATCGCCATCTTTCCTCCATGCATGATTTCTAGAATTACGTCCAAACAACTCAGTTTTGGTTTCTTCTGTCCATAATACTCTTTCCCAATACGATTTTTCCTTATCCATATGTTCACGAACGAACCTCAAACTGGCATCTCTCTGCTTTTTCAATAGCAGTGGATTTCTACGAGGGGAGCGTGATTTTATATTGTTCCTATGAATTTCACTGCTTAGTGTCCGTTTAGTGACACAGATTCCTGATGAAAGCAAATCATCCTTCAACTCTTGACGAGTAACCATTGGATTCTCTTTAATTTGACGCATTAATTTCTTTGAAGATCTTGCAGAAATCTTCTGTGGAGCACCTGTTCTTCTTTGGTTTTCAACAGTATTGAGTTTTTAATACCTTGCAATGAATGAACTAATGGTAGTAAACGGAATATTCGGGTTGTCTGAGATTTTCCTGCAACTTTTACCTTCTTTCCAGAGCATAACAATCAGTTCTTTTTTGCGAATTTGTCAATTCTTGCCACGATAAAAACTTTCTTACGAGAATATCAAATACAGAGTGTCCTGTTTGTATTTTTCTAAACGATAACCACTGATAACATTATTGGAACATTCTAGAATATTCCCCTTGAATAATCTATAGTTTTAAAACAATTTAAAAGTTTTAAAATCTGAAATTTGCATTGTACGTATACCTTTTTCACCCATTAAAATGGATAAATGGGATTTATTTGCATTAAATCAATTTTTTCTGCTTTCTGTGCATATTTAGTTATTATGCATCTGTGTGCAGTTAATTGTATGAAAAGTATGTTTATTCATTAGTTGGAAATACAATAAATTAAAAGTTTGCAGGTGTACGAATACTTGTTTCCCCCCACTGTATGTGTGTGTGTGTGTGCATATATATATATATATATATATATATATATGTATATATACGTGTGCGCGTATATATATATACATTTTTTTTTATTTCCAGAGTTGTTTTTTTTTTTTTTTTTTTTTTGAATTTGTAGGTCTGATGAATTGGATCGTATTTACGATTCCAATGGAATAAATTATGACCATGGAATATTAGTGGTAAAACCTTTTTTTTATATATATATATATATATATATATATATATATATATATATATATATATATATATATATATATATATATATATATATATATATATATAAAGTAACAACATTATCTCTTTTTCGTCTAACAACATGTCAGTCATTTTTGTCACTTAGCCTCCTATATAAATTTTAAAAATAAATTTCTATATCTGGTTTGATAAAGTTTCTCAAAGAATGAAACGCGATGGAATAAAAAAATTTCATCATATATATATATATATATATATATATATATATATATATATATATATATATATATATATATGAAGAAATAAATATAGTCTTAAGATGTGCTATATTTATGGGATAAAGTGCTCAATATCAGAGATAGAGCGTATTTAAATATAAAAGTGGACATAAGTCAACACTTAGAGGCGACAGTCTGTTTCATGTTATATGCAATCCTCGGGTCACATGAAACAGACTGTCGCCTCTATATATATAAAGTAACAACATTATTTCCTTTTCGTCAGTCATTTTTGTCACTTATAAGTGACAGCCTCCTATATAAATTTTGAAAATAAATTTCTATATCTGGCTTGATAAAGTTTCTCAAGGAACGAAACGCGATGAAATAAAAGAATTTTCTTTCATCATATATATATATATATATATATATATATATATATGAATTAACACAAATAACATTTCATTTTTCACTTAGCTTGAATGATTTTATATTCAGTACCTCAACTCTAGAGATTCGTAGGCAAGTTTTTCCGTAATTTTTCAGGCCACTCTTTAGGAATTTTCAGCAATTGTCTGCAGATTTTCTCATTTTTCATTATCTTTATATATGATTTTGGGAGCGATGGTCTCTGCTAGCTTTACTCCACCCAAGGCACGTTATGCATAAATGAATACCTAAAGAGACGTGTGGAAGGAGCTGATCAGGTGCTCAGCTGCGCAGGGACTCAACGTCTACCGTGGGTCATGTGACTGATGTTGATGTTTGTATGGCATTTCCAATCATCCCCAGTCAGTATTCAATAGTAAAAAAAAAAAAAGGTTGAAGCTAGCAACTCCACTCCACGAAAAGCCTACTTGTTCCAGTTAGCCACAGCAGCAACATCAATCGTGGTGGGGCTGTGGATATATACAGAGATAACATACATCCAAGGATACCGGCTAAGTATACTTAATATGACATTAAACATAAAACAGATGGGATAATTGAACGGATAGGAAGATATACATACAATAAGATATACAATTCAACGGACATAGTTATTCAATGAATATGTAAAATGATCAAAACGCCATATTCAGGATCACGTGTCCCGTAACCCATTAGGGTCGTAGGGGCACAACTTCTACTTCAGCTGCAGTAGCAATGGTGCTTCCGGAAGGAGACCAACTCTCTCTAGAATGGTTTGAAATCAGTTTTCCTTCAACTAGACTAGTCGCCAGCCAAGGCTGTCCCGCTGTTCTACCCATAGCCGGGCGGAGAATAGATGGATTCATACCTTTCCCAATGAGCGGCGTAAATATAAATGAGTTTTTACTGGTATTCGAACTTGGCTCTCATGATTCCTCAGTCCGAGCCGCTGTCCATTATTCCACTGTGCCTCTAAATGCCACATGCTGTGTCTAAAAAGTTATGCAAAGAAAAGACAATGGACGAAAATCTGAATGCATTTTTTTTTTCAATCTTTGCAAATTTGATACTGATATAGCTATCTAATTTCAATATACTGCTTTCGTCTTCTTACACAGATACACATACAAATATATATATATATATATATATATATATATATATATATATATATATATATTGTTATATATTGTTACCATATATATATATATATATATATATATATAAAAACTTTGAAGATCGGATTGCGAAATCGTCATGACTGTAACAAAGACGATGCGAGTGGATCAAATCAATTTTAAGCGTTAAATTGTTTTTCGTTCTTCCATAAAGTAAAGCAGAAGATCAAATAACGTAGCGTAACTTAAGACGGAACAGTTTTACGCAACAATCATTGGCTTACTTTCTACGGGAGTCAGTAAATGATAAGTCTTCCACGAAGACTCTTTATGTTATGTTATTATACAGACTTTGCCAGAAAGCTGACATCCGAAGTAAATAAAAAAAATTTAAAACATTTACAATTTATAAATGCCATGGCATCGTTAATTTATTTTTAGATCAGTCACTGTTGAGTTTTATTCATTTTTGGCTAGAATTCCTTTTATTTTAATTCAGCTTTTTTTTATCACAACTTGTAGAATGCATATTCGAAAGAATTGCGTCTGGCTTACCAATTTTCTGGAGGAATAAATTGTAGAAAACAGAAATTAAACTCTTTTACATATTTAGAAAATTTATTTATATTTTCAAATGTTGATAAACAGATTGGTATACTTAAAAAAAAAACATCGAAATAAGCTATGAAATCAGTTCTTTGACGATCCTAATCTCAAATAGTTCCTGTGTGTGTGGTAATAATCTTATGGTATATGGAGATGAAGGTTGGGCTAATACATAAGTAAAGGCCAAACTTACTGTTTATAGTACCATTTATTTATTGACTCCATTTGGTTACAGTGGTTAGATGAAGACTATCATCTTAGTCTTTTTTGTGGTTCGAGAGTTCATACAGGGTCCTTGTGTTTTTGGCTGACAGAAATTAATTTGTCGAATTCAACCTTTCTTCTTCGTTTTATTGAGCCTGACACATCCGTGTTTTTTGTTTGATTTTTGACGAAACATGTTGTCATTGGTTGTTTTTTATGACGTTCACAGACCCACATAAGCTATGTCCGGGTTCTGTCAGTTACTGAGGATAGGAACAATGGAAGGAAGGGAAGGAAAAGAAATATGTGTAATAGAGAAGAGAGAGAGAGTTTTCTTTGTTACTCTCTTAGGGAAAAGGAAAGTGTATATTTCCATATGGTGTTACTACTACCTAATCCTACTACAATCTCCTTATTTTTGTATATGTGAATTTTGATACGCGAGATTACGTTTACGTTTAACGCATCTTTATGTATCAACAATAGCAGTTGTAGTAGCCGTAATCCTGCAATAGGTAAATTCGGTTGGCGAAAATATAATTTTTGTAATTACTTTAAATAATGCTGATAATAAAAAAGAAGTGAATAAACATTAATAAGTGTATAGATAAAACTCTGACTTCAATAATATTGAAAGTGAGTAATCGTTAAGTTTCAAAATGTACGAAATTTTTCTCCAGAACTAGGTAAGTAAGATTGGTTATCGAAATTTATCAAAAATAAACGACTCAAAATTGGATGTCAAAATTTCGAATTGTTTTAAGTTACTATTGGTTAAAATATATGTTGTTAATTGTCTTTTTTTTTTTTTTGTTTTTGTTCTTTTGTTTGTTTTTGTTGTTGTTGTTTTCTTGTTTGTTTGGGTTTTTTGTTAAATTTTAATAACTTCCTCCTTTTAAATTTTTAAATATATGTCGTCTGGCATTTTACTGACCATTTTCCTCTTTCTATTTGTCGTCAACAAATCACTTATTTTACCAATAACTCTCACAAGGAAGCACTTCAAAACCAACTTAAGCACATGGTAAACAGTCGATGGTCGTCAATAACAGACAGACAACTACTAATAAAGCACAATTAGTTGATTGAATGAAGATGGTCTCTTTCTTTCTTTCTTTCTTTCGAACTAAAACGAATAACGTCATCGATGACGTTAGGGAGTTGCTTGGACATTTGACGCAAGCAAGTATTGTATTTCTGACAGTATTGATGCTTAGGATATAACATTTGATAAAATACAACTGCGATTATATATCTTTTGTGTTTCATTTCCCCTTCTTTGCTCATTTCGTTCTATCTGGTCTCTTTTGCAGTAACTAGTTACCTCCCTTGTTTTAAAAACTTGGCTCAGAACGTACCGAATTAAAATTCGAATTTACTATTTTTCCGAGCAGGCAAATTAATGCCTGCCAACAAACAAAAATTAAACAAGTCGACATGCCTAATATGAGTAATCATGGCAAATTGATCGTCCATCATTTTCGGGTTGACCACACATAGATAGTTTTTTCGGTTTACTCTCCTTTTTCTTTCATCTTTTGTACAGCATGCGATGTAATTTCAAATGATATATCTTCTGGTCGTTTATATGTGTCAGATTTGACGTCATATCAACCTCTATTGAATCGTTTAATGTTGGAATCAGACTTTTTATTATTATTATTATTATTATTGAACTGAGTCTTGTAAGCATTCACTTAGTTCGGGTATAGGAAAATATTTGTCGTTTATATCTGTGTTCTATAAACATTTTCTTGATTTGAGAATAGGTAAATATTGGTAGTTTATATCTGTGTAAGCATTTACTTGATCAGAGAATAGGTCAATATTAGTAGTTTATATCTGTGTCTGTAAGCATTTACTTGATTCGGGAATAGGTAAATATTAGTCTTTTTATCTGTGTTCTGTAAGCATTTACTTGATTCGAGAATTGGTCAATATTGGTCGTTTATATGTGTCTGTAAGCATTTACTTGATTCGAGAATAGGTAAATATTAGTCTTTTTATCTGTGTTCTGTAAGCATTTACTTGATTCGAGAATTGGTCAATATTGGTCGTTTATATCTAAATCTATAGGCCTTTATTTGTTTTGGGAACTGGTAAATATTGATGGTTTATATTTGAATCTGTAAGTATTTACTTGCTAAATGAAAGGTTCTTATCTCTTTTTGGGGATTGGGTCTTATTCCTCTGCAGAGTATGCTGTCGGCATATTTAAGCCTTATCGACAAGTCAGATTATAGACCCTTCTTTATCTATATATAACATTTAGTGCTGAAAGTTTTTTCATAACTACTAGATACTGAACATCAAATAACCGAAAATTAATCTTTTTACATCCTTTAATGTATTTTTCTATTGTAATATTCACTATTAAACACTTGATTTATTACGGAAATTAGATTTTTTTCTGTTAATTCACCCCAAATATTGTAAAGTTAGTTAGATCATATATTTATAGTGGATTATCAGTTATAATGAAGTGTACGAGTGTTGGAACAGATTAGTTTGATTTGACCTTGTTAGTTAGATAACCCACCATAAGAAGGGTATAAAACAAGAAAATCAAATTGTAAAGTGAAACAACAAATTTATATACATATAAATCAATTAAGGTCTTTACAAATAAAATTAATGTATTCTGGTTGATACAAGGTCGTCAAAATGTTCGTAGCAGTCCTTGCAAGAATGAGTTTATGTGTACGTAGGCAGGAACGTATGTATGTATGTATGTATGTATGAGCGTTATCGAAGGGTAGGAATGTCTTTGAAGTAATCGCTCAGTCTTAAAATGTTCCGTTCGTTTATCAAGTATAAAAGAGGTGAGGGAGAAAGGTAGAGATAATAATAATGATCGCTTGACGTTTGTCAAGGGACGTGTTAATACGCTCGTCTCCTTCTCTCTGGTGACAGGCGAACTTGCCCGTCTTTTATTTTGTTTGTGGGTCTTGAAAAGGTCATTTGGGAATTCACTCCCGGATATGATTCGGCCCTTTCCATTGGACGACGAACAAACTTCGCGTCGGCTCGCGAAAAGGTCCGTAAAAGAATTTGTTTCTGAGAATTGAAGATTATTTGAATTTTGTTTTTAAATGTTTCCTAGTTTTCTACTGGCCGAAAAACATTTCTCATCAAGGTGTGAAATTTCACGGGTTTTTTTGTTGGTTTTTTTTTTGTTTTTTTGGATTAGCTTTTACGTGTGTCTTAAGCAAAGTTTGTAAATTCGAATCTTTTTAATTTCTAACAAAATCAATGAGTCAGTGCTTAGCATTTGGATTTTAAATCTAGATCTTGTTTTGTTCACTAAATATTATTTCACCCCAAGAAATTATAAATTTTAAATTAATATTGGTTTGTTTTTATTAAATTTTTGGTACTCTTTTGAAATTATAAATTTTAAATCAAAATTTGTTTAGTATGTTGCACTGAAACTCCTACCCTAAGAATGAAACATTGCCAAAAAATTAGGAATTTATTTACATTTCGTAAGTTCAGGTTATATTCGAGGTACGTACAAGGAATTCTTTACAATTAAAAAAAAAAACTGTTTAGGCTTTTTTATCGGGTTCAGCGCTAACGGAGACTCCGCACTTAGAAATAGCGCAGCTGAGTCACCCACATTTGGAGCGATCGCAAAGGTCAACCCAAACGGTGTGTAATGATAGGGCCTCACTATGGAAGGATTTGATGTGAATTTTAGCAAATATAAATTCTTTTATTCTTTTTATATTGAGGTGGATGAATATTTTGGGGTGAATAAACAGAAATGAACCTTGAAATTATGTTGTCCACTTTTCTTTAATCCGTATTAGGCTTCTTTGGAAAGTTCAGCGCTACTAAACTTTAAATTTCATTATGTGTATGGGGGGGAGTTAATTTGAGCTTCTAATGAGAAAAAAAGTAATTTCAAAGTTTAATAACAGTTGCCATAATCAGTTCGCCCAATTTAACAATTCTGATCCATCATCTTAAAGATATTATTCCTAATTGGTCAAGTCGGTTCGATTGAAACATTGTCTTTCCTGTAAAACTAAAAATTAAATGAACTCAGATTAATTAAAATATGCCTGGCATTTGTCTTGCTTCTCAAAAGTTCTGGTTCTCTTCGATTTCCTTCTTTCTTTCTTTCTTTTTTTGCACTTTTTCTTTTGAATTCGCGTTTTCATTTTTATTCTAGTCTGTCTTTTTCTCTTTAACTTTTCTCTTTCTTTTAATTCATTTTCTCTTTTACTTTCCTTGACTCTCTACGTCTTCTTTCTTTTTATTTCTACACCCTTCTCTCTCTCTCTCTCTCTCTCTCTCTCTCTCTCTCTCTCTCTTTCTTTCTATATAATTCTCCTACCCTTTGCTTATAGTATTCTATCTCAAAAAGTTTCCGTATGATCACCGAAGTTAAGCAACGTCGAGTCTGGTCATTACCTAGATGGGTAACCACTTGAGAATACCACGTGCTGTAAGCTTGGATGTGTGGCTGGTGTAATGGATAATGGCTTGGAATTTGTTAATCGAAGAGGCGAGTTCCAATTCCACTTACGCGCAAATACCCTTGGGAAAGGTACTGTGAATCCATCTCTTCTTCCCCAGCTATGAGTTAATTAGTAATACTATTTTTTTTCACTAAAACAATTATTATCTCCAAAAATTAAAATAAAATTGCGTACAAAATATTTATATTTCGGCATTAAATAACCCATAGAATTTAATATGCCGCTAAACAACAAACCAACATTTTTAATACCAGTAAGTTAATTGGTCCCCAGTGTGTTTTCCATGCATGTGGAAGTGTAAGAAAATAAAACACCGAAAAAAAAAATGAATTAAACATTTTCAAATTTTAGTTTCAACTAAACACTCGTTCCATTTCATTCTAATGTCTCTGAAGGAACACGACCCTACCTTCATACACTGTTACTCGATTACTTATCCTTGTACCGGGTGATAATAATATGGAAAATATGTCGGGTGATACAGTGAATATTTTTTCTCAGTGGCATCCCGTTCTAGAAACAGTCATATATCCTCAAAGATCACTGATTTCCTAAACAGAAACCAATAACAAATAAACCTTATAAAATGGCGTATTTTTTTATATTCCTGTTTTTATTCGTCTTTTCATGTTCTTTAGAAAGTCTGACGATGCAGATATATATTAAGATTAGTTAATCTGGCTCAAGGCCACAGTAATGAAGCACAGAGCAAAGATTATACCATTAAATCCTGACATATACAATTTGAAATACTGTGGATACTTAAATTTAGATGAGTCTGCCACAAGACCTCAGTAGTGTAACATCCAGATAGAATAAAAACCTAGCACCGTTGGCTTGTATGACTGACTAAAACGTATACATAAGAGAAAAGTAATGGGGAAAAACTTTTATGCCAACAGATTTCGTTAAAGACGTTGACATAAAATGTTTTCCTTCTGTCTTTTCTTTTATATATATTGTCTTTACAGATGTACTTATGTCTGAATTTTTACACTTACATACATACTGTCCCTTAAGAAACTATATTCCTGATCAAACCGAACTCATAAATAATTACATCGGTCACACGACTACATGCCTATCCAGACGATTTACGTTACACCTGTCCGACCACAGAACCCATTTAAACAGAAACACAAACACAAACACAAACTTACCAGATTCCATCAGAAAAATATTAGTAGAAAATACAAACATAATAATCTTATCCACATGTAAGAAAAGATTAAAAATGATAGAAGCCCTAATAATAAAGAAAAAAACAACACTCAATAATATTAACTACGAACACGGCCACAATGAGCACACCGTGTTCAGAAAAAAAAACATTCCTATAACTCTGTAAAGCATACACACAAACCATATATCATTTTAAGAAGTAAAAATAAAATCATTCTTGATGATGAGTAAAAGTATAGCCGAAAGCGCTCGGAATCTCAGGACATTTCAACAGTTTCTGCAGACTCTGTGGCCAGAAAAGAAACATTTGTTCAAACACAAGAAAAATTAAATAAAAACCTTAATCGCAGAGCCTTTTGTGAAACATGTATAAGTGATTTGCCTAAAAACAATATATAAATAATTATATATATATTACACATTTATATATATATAATATATATATATATATATATATATATAATATATATATATATATATATATACATTTTATATATATATATATATATATATATATATATATATATATATATATATATTATTTATATGTTACATGTTAATAAGCACGGTACTTATTGCAAAGCGCTCAATATCAGTGATAGAGCTAACATATTTAGCTGTATTGATGTGACTTTTGTGTGTGACCCTGGTTTGTCTGACGATCGCAAAGGGCGTGAAACCCTGGTCACAAACTCACATCAGTCGAACTATATATATATATATATATATATATATATATATATATATATATATATATATATATAAGTTGGAAGGAGGAGAGTATTTTGGTTGCAGATTTTCTTGCAAACAAGTCTTAAAAATAGACATTTATGGCTATTAAATTTATTCATCATTTTTTACGATATACGAATAACTTTTCGCAAATGTGGCTGAAATTTCTATTAGGTCCAAGCTTCCAATTAACATGAGTTATCGTCAGGAGTGTGAGAAAGTAAAGTGAAGCAAAAACATCAAATATATTTTAAGCAGCGCATTGTTTTAAAAATTAACATTCATTTTTTTGTTTAAAAACCAAATCCTAGACTTTAGTTCTTTTTATTGATGGGTGGTTCCTTTTTTTAAGGTATATTTATATCTACAACATTTACATTTGCGAAATATTATTCGTATATTAGAATAAAAATGATTAATAAATTTATAAGACGTAAAATGATTCTTCTTTTTAATATTACTATTATTAATATTATTGTTTCGGTATTATTAATAAATATTATTTCATATTAATATTAACATTTTCGTTTTTATTATACTCTTATATTATTTATTGTTGTTATTGTTTATAAACTGGTTTCGTGCTTTAGGCGGTAAGGTGATGGAGAACAGAAATATTCACAATGAAGTGTTTTCTCTTCTGTTTATACTTCTTAATAAAGTCGAATAGCCGGGGGATTCAAACATCACGTGACTTCTTAAAATAAAATGAAAATGGCAGCCGACGCAACAATTGTTTAACGAACATCGTTGAAAATTTGCCTTTAGGTTGTCATTAATGAATGAATCGAGGGGACGTGTTTGTTTCCTTTTGATTAGCAATTTCTAATATTCTGGCAATCAGTTAATTTCATTGGACTTTTTTTGTGTGTTGACCATCAACCAGTTTGCTACTCAGCGGCTGTGAAATATCAGCGTGTTATGTAACATTGCGAACTGATAGCGATATGAAGCAATTCTTTTGTTTTTCATCTGAAATGCGTAGTTTTCCCATGCATACACTGAGAACATCGCCTACGAGAATTTTTAACATGGACGAAAGATTTTAATGATAACTTTAGAACAAAATTTGGTTTGAAACCGGATAGAATTACAACAAATTATTTCAATGCTTAATTTAATTTTTTGAGCCAGAAAACGCTTCACTCGTTTAATTTTAAAACAAATAAACTGAACTGATTTTTGAGAAATACAAATGATTCATTCGTTGCGAAAAATGATGTGATGAAGCAGCCTCATTCAACTGAGTAGGATCCTCATGTTTCAAGATTCGCTTTATGTATTCTCCAATTTTCTTAAAGAATATATATATATATATTATAATAAAAAGAAAGAACAGTAAGATATATAATCCAGTGTTCTTATTGATATTTTTATTTTTACAAAACAGTGCTCAATATAAATTTAGAGAGCATAAATATTATAAATTAACTGATTTAAAAAATGGTTTCTTCGCTACACAGGAATTACCATGTTTCAAAAAACTGAAGCTAAAAACTTCAAATTTAATTATATAATTAAATTTGAAGTTTTTAGCTTCAGTTTTTTAAAACATGTAAATTAACAGAAAGTATATTTTAAATCAGTTAATTTATATATATATATATATATATATATATATATATATATATATATATATATATATAAATATATATATATATATATATATATATATATATATATATACACCAAAATTACTATAAAGAAAAGGCAAATTGAGAAAAACAGCAGTTAATTGATTGCTGGAGAAAAGGGAATTTTAACGCATTATATACGATATATAAGCATTACCGGATGGCAGAGGGCTCAATTCATATCGAAGCGACTCATCAGCAGTGCGCATACCACTACCGAGAATCGAACTCGGACCATTTCGATACAACGTAAACGTCATACAAACTGTACCACGGGCCTCGGTGACGAAGACACAAACTAGACTCAATATAGCGCCGCTACTCACTCAGTTCCGCAGTGATACTCATCCAAGTGCCACGTCTGCTTATATATAGAGAATGCAATGGGTGAATGGTCGCCATTTTATATTTTTAATTTCGCGCATGCACGTTGTTTGTTTTTTAATTTAGCAACTGCATAGTATAGTAGGGTCAGTTGGGCACCGTCTGTGAGAAAAAGAGCACCATGAAATTTGGAAACGGCAGGCTGTACTGCTTGGCATTCCTGTCAGAAGCTTCAATACGAACATTTCAGAGTGTTTGGGTGTCAATCTGAGGGCGGTGCAAAAGATTCAGAAAGAGTTGTATTCAATCAACATCAAGGTATTTGGAGAGATCACGAGTGATGGCGATATTATGCGTCTATTCGTCTTTCAACACGGCGACCTACATCAAATGCCTTGAGGAGGTAGTGCTGCCCTAGGTCAAGAGGGTGGCTGCTGGAAGACCCTATATCTGGCAACAGTACTCTGCACTATGCCACACAAGCAGGAGAACCCAGTCATGGCTGTCAGACAATTTCTGCAACCTTACATCTGGCTACCTAGACTGCAATTATATGTGAGGTGCAGTTGATAGAGAGACTAAAATACTCCTTGTAACAGGAGATTCCGAAGTCTTCTGGGTGCCGTGGTCTTACCTTAAGGGGGTGGCCTGTTTCTCCTTTATATTTCTTACCACAGCTGCACGGGATGGCGTACACACAGTCCTTAGTCATGTTCTCCTCTATAAGGGGGGGGGGTACTCGGAAGAGGTGTCTACGAAATGTCGAACCACATTTGAAGGTCGTCCTGATGTTATATAGAGCACAGATATTTTTATTGTCTCCTATAATCCTTTCACATAGGGTAAGCAGACAAAAGCTGTTTTCTGAGTGCTGTTACCCTCTTGTATACTTCTATCCCAGTCTGCCAGAAGTTGCTGCCATGTACCCAAGGTAGTTGTTACGTTGTAGGATACTGCTTTATACTGATCATTTCTTGATCAGATGACTCATGATTTTTACTCGATGTTGTAAGCAGCGGACGATCCCTTTCTTTACACTGTATGGTTGGTGGGAGTTGAAGTTGAGATATTGTCCAGTGAATGTTGGCTTGCGGGATACGGATGTCTTGAATCCATGCTCTGTTCGAGATATTAGTACATCCTGGAATGCGATTTTGTTGTCTTTTTCTCTCCCTCCATTGTGAACTGTATTGATGATCTTATTGATTTCACATGGTTTAGTAGTAGCTGGACCTCTTCCTGGCAATGGGCTCTCCATTATCACCAGCAATGGCAAACATATACATGGAATACTTCGAAGAAATGGCATCAGAATCCACATCACTAAAGCCAACCTTGTGGCTGAGATATGGAGATGACACGTTCATACTCTATCTACACCAACTTAAGGAATCACCACATATTTTATACCACAAAAATCTCTAAAGCCAGCCAAGCAGAGAAATGAATACAATATGGGAACCAGTAATACAAAGTGCTAGAGAAAAACAACAAAATTGCGATATGAGCTCCAGTAAAAATGGTTACTGAGACATTATGTCCTAAAAATTCATACACTGATATCCTCAAGGACACGTGTTCCAGTGGATAAAAGTGTTGGTTGGATCCAGTGACTTGACCCAAAGAGTTGTGAGTTCAATACCTGGCTACTGCAGTGGTGAACAAAAACTTAGAGAATTGAGTTAAAGGGAGATAACGGGTAGATCCAGGAGAAGCACGACATGTGAAACTAGAGCAATTTACTCCGGTGGACGTAATAAAGGGTTCAGTTCGAAATTCCAGTCACCTGAAGAAGGCCGAAACATCATGAATATTGCAATAAAAAAAAACAATGTAAATAATTACAATATCTCAGACAGAAACTCGAATGATATTAACAAAATCTTGTTAATCTGCAATATATACAGAACTTTTTCCACTCTGTCATAATGTTGTTTTTCTCTGAAATTGTTCTTGGTGTATAAAAATGTTTATATCGTTTTCCCATATATATATATATATATATATATATATATATATATATATATATATATATATATATATAAAGGTTAATGGTCTGAGTTGAATCAGACCAGGAAACAGTAGTATTAAAAAGTGCTCAATACACGTGAGGAAATAAATAAATAAAAAATAACATATAGTGCTTTTAACTTTAAAAATCAGGAGGTCAATTAGAATATGCGATTATGGTTTCGACCTGACGGTCTCTTCGGGCGATACTTTTAAAATGACCACTTTAATGCTTTATTTCAAAAAACCACAAAGAACGCTACATAATTATCTTTCAAAAAAATAAGACTCATGATGATTGAAAGGCAGGACATTCAATGTAATGGAAAGGAAGGGGAAAAGAAAGGTTGAAAAGAAAAGAATGGGAAGGAACGGGAATGCAAGTGTATTGTAGATGTATACAATAAAGAGGGAAAGCAAATATGTAACTTAATTGTTATGAAGAGGGGGGAGTCTAGCGTGTCTAAAAAGTGATAATGGGGTTTTGAATTAGATTTTTTTTAACCGGCTTTATATTCACAATTTTTTTTCTGTGAGGGCAAGGGCTTAAAATTACGAATTTTTTATTTAAAATATTTTTGGGATCCGGGAATGTCGTAATTGCTAATTTCTCATATTGACATAGTTTGCAAATGCGGGTATAATTGTTGTATGTTTTTTTAAAAAGTTTCCACCTTACGACCGAATCACTGTTATTTTTTTTTTCTTTTAAATTCCACATGTAATTGGAAAGTTTGGTGGATTATCGATATGTGATTGTACCATCTGCGGTTGAAAGGGCCTTCTGTGCAGCCTATATGTTTTGATTTGACCATTAATAATTATAACTTCTGCTTTATAAATTATAGATTCCATTTAAAGCTCCATTTAATGGACATCTAATTTTATTTCTACAGTTGCATAAGTTACTGCTGTTATTTTGCTGCCCGTTGGTTTTGAAGTTTCTGTTATTTTCTCTTTTTATTTTTGTATCTAAATTACTCGTGCAGCTGTAGCTTAATTTGGCTGTATTTTGATTGAATATCTTATGTAGTTCTGAATTTTAGAAGGAAGCGTTTAGAAAGCAACTTGAAAAATAATTTACCTATTACATTTCACCTCTAAGTTGAAAGGGGGGAGACCAAATAATATTTTTTTCTTTTCCTGGAAATGGCTTTCGTATGGTGTTTAATTGGTTGAGGTTTAAATTCTAGATTTGCTTTGTGGTCCTCTGCCTTTAAGTTTATCTCATATTCTTTCTTTTTTTTTTCCTCAAAAATTTCTCACAAGAAGAGTTTTTGGATAGCCTAGACTCTGTTCTATCAGGGATATGTTTAATTATATTCGAGGAGTGGTTGGATTTAATATTTACATACCTTAACTTTGCATTAGGTTTTATGTATGGGGAGACACTGTCATAGTTAACAATTCTTTTTTTGTTATTTATGTCGACTTCTATTTCAAAGCCGAGGTTTTTAAAGAGCTTAAAAAGCGTTTTTCTAATGGCGTCATTGGTTCTTTTGTTGTTTGGTCTTATCATTAAGCCGTCATCTCTATATAGACCGTGGTTGTTTATATGGACGATCTTGTTATTGATTTCATATAAAATATGCAGCCCTATTAGTACAAAACATTCAGCGCCATCAAAGGAACCTTGTAGTACGTCATATCCGTCTTTTTTTTAATTTTTTATTCAGGTTGCTCCGTTGTGGAATAGAATGGATTTGTGGCAATGTAAAATTATTTCCGTCTGGTCAGATGTTATTTCTACAAAGCCTTTGACGAAATGTCAGGCGTCCAGTCGACATTTTTCGGATGTAGATTGGTAGAAGTTCTTAATGTCATATTTTATGAATACATGGGTGAGGATTATTTTCCCACAGATAAAATGTTAAGAGCCTCTTTCTACTCTATTGCTGTTTCCATGATGCTATATATTCTGACAAGCAACTTTCCTTCGTCCCACCACCCCTGACACTTAAAACTGGGACCCTCCATGCCACGTACACTAGTGCGAATCATTCCCATTTCCTTCATATTCCTATACTAAGAAGTAAGTTCCATTCGGACAGCTTTTTCTCAAGAACTTTTGCTTCGTGGAACAAACTCCCCGCAGAATGTTTTCCCAGACACTACAATCTTGACCTCTTCAAGTCTGGGTTAACCGTTATTTTTCCTGTATAACCCCATGAATTTCAGTACTTACATTTTTCTTACAGTAATACAACGCCACACAGTAACTCTCTACCTTGAGTGGCTCTTGAGTCTTGTATTGGGCGAACATTTATATAAAAAATAGGTCAATCGAGTTACAACAAAAGCAGGTCATCTGTAACTTCAACAGGACTTACGCAGCGAACCTCTTAAGCTGAAGCCAACTTTTGGAAAACTTTCATATCATTTTTTGGTAACTCCTTTTGTTTAAAGAATCTGTCCTATATAAGCCATGAATACTTTAAATGGCTACAGCAGCAGCGTTCCTTTTTCTAAACTCGTAAAACATGTCAGATTCACTTCGAAGAGGCGGCCATCTTTGAGAGTTTCAACTTAGTAACTGAATTGAATTGCAGTATGACGATGTAATTTACTCAGTTAAAACTGTACGAACGATTATTTACTACTATTTACATACGAACAAATTGTCCTCATCTTTGTCTTTCATCAGGTTTACGCCGATCTGGGTAACCTACAGGGAATTCCGAACTGAACTCTTTATTTAATCTACGGGGGTAGACTGTTCTCGTTCCACTGCCCATGTCTACAGATTTCTCGTCTGGTTCTTATTTTTAGTACTGCTCAATTAATACTTGCATTGTTTCCATTGAGTTCAAATTCATATTGCTCGGCCCAGAGATTGAACTCACAATTACTATGTTACCAACTATCCACTAGGGTTAATAGGTTCATGATTTTGGTGACATAGCAATTGTGATTTCTAATCCTTGGGCAAGGCAGTGGAAACAGGACAAATAATATTATTATTATTGAAAACATTTTTCCTTATTTTTGTATACTGATGTGTTGCATTTAAACTGTTACCGGAAGTAGAATGGTTACGTTAGGAACATCGATCAACGTTGATGTTATGTACAGATTTTAATTTCCTTTAACCTGTCCTCACTAAGACTTCCTTCGTAATGTCTTTATTTTCCACTAACAAAGCGAATTTTTAAAGTTATTTTGTAATGGTTCCATAAGTGTTTCTCTATTATATTAACATTTTACACTTCTGTATTATGATTTTGATCATTGGTCTGATTACTTTGGTCAAGAGATGAAATAAATACCTTATGGCTGCTTACCTTCTACTTTTTCTATCATGTTTTTTTTTTAAGTTTTACCTCAGCTACTTCGCTAACATCAGCTTTCTATTCCTTTATAATCGACCGTTTTTAGTTGTTGTTTTTTCTTTTTTGTTTTTTTTTCGTTCTTTGGTTTCCTTTTCTTGTATCTCTTTCATTATTTTATTTTATTTACTTTTTTCTCTTTTTTTTTTTTTTTTTTTGGCCTTTCCTGCTTCTTACTTCTTGGCTTTTTTTTTTTCTCATATTTTATGCGGTTGTTTTCTGTCAAATATTTTTTCATTTATTTTTGTCTTTTTACACATCAGTTACGTTTCTTCTTTCTTCTCTTCATCTTTCCTCTTTCTCTATTTTTCTCTATCTCTCTCTTTCTATATCTATCTCTCTTCGGTTTTTTCTTCCTCCTCTTCTTCTGTTCCGCCTCCATTTTCCTCTCCTCCTTATTTTTAATATATTTTAATGATTTATCTTTATTGCAGAAATTCTTTCATTTTTTTTTCTCAGCAATGTTTCTATTATTTTTCTCGATTTTGACGGAAGGTTTTTTGTCTTCACTTCCGTTCCATAATTAAGTATTTATTTAATTGAATTTCTATTGCTTTTTTGGTTTCTCTCTTTTTCCTATTTAGACGTTTTGTTTTTTTGTTTTTTGTTGTTTTTTTGTTTTTTTTTTTTTTTTTTTTTTTTGGTTTGGGGGCTGTTGTGGTTTTGTTCTTTTCGTTGTTTTTTATTTATTTTTTTTTTTTCGATTGTTTGTTTTTTGTTTGTTTTATTTTTTGCTTTTTATTTTCTTTCTTCCCGCCAGATGATTTCCAGTTTCCAATCAAATAATGAATATTTCATACTCGTATTTCGAACACAATTCAATGATCACATTTTTCATACGAAATGCACAATTTTTGTTCAATATTTTTTTAATCACAACAAGGATTTTTATGGGAAAACAATTTATCTAATTAATCTAATTTTACCATATATTATTATTACTACTACTACTACTACTAAAATAACTACTGGTGATTCGCTTTTTTTCCTTCTTCAAATGTGATATCGATTAGAAACTAAAGAGAATTAAGTTTTCAATACCATGATTCTTTAGTTCATGGTGTAAACTCAGCATTATTTATTTATTAATTTCTACACAAAGAAAGCATTCCGATAATCTTGCGATAGTCTTCCAAAGATTATAATAAAGGCTTAAGCAAGAGTCAATGCAATTTATATTTCTGACTATTGCAAGCATCGATACTTACTTTCTTCTTCTTCTTCTTCTTCTTCTTCTTCTTCTTCTTCTTCTTCTTCTTCACTGTGCCATGCCTCTTCTTGTTTTTCAGTCAACTTTGATATTCAAAAATATAAATGCAATGTCTTCTGCCTCCTTGAACTCTGTTCTTTTATTGTCCTATTTCATTTTCTTTCACTTTCAGAAACTCCTAGCATCCTAATGGTGTTGTCTGTTTTGCTTTGAAGGAAATGATTTAAACAAATAAAATAGAATTATTATTAAAGACTAGCAGTAGAGCCCGGCGTTGCCCGGGGATATAACAGTAAGAGATAGATAAACTATCCACCATCATAAAGACTGAAAAATAAAATTGACAAAGATTATTGTTTAAGGTTCACGGACACGCATGTCTTAATTAGTTTTTTTTTGTTTTTTTTTTTTTTTTTTTTACGAATTGGTCAAACCCAAACTCAAACAAAAACATTGTTTTCAATCGTTATGAGTCTACTGATTGAATAGAATTTTATTATAAGCAATTGTCTTGTAAATGGAATTTTTAAAGCATTCTGAATGTTAAAATAAAGAAAAAAGTGTGCAAGACAATAAGAAAATCTACCTGCCAAAAAAAAAGTGAAGTTTTGTTTTATCGACTGAAAAATATAGGAAATCCGCTCCCATATTTAAAGTAACCCACACACACAAACAAACCGATGTGAGTTGTCCCCCTTCCATTTTCACGATGTCTCTTAATCGTGTTTTCAAATTGATTTTGTGCAAAAACAATTATATTTTTTCCCATTTTTGGCGCTGTTAGAACCACCACAAGGTAATTTTATGTAGTCCTGTGAAGTTTTGTTGAAATCGGTTGAAAAATGTAGGAAATCCGATCCAATATATAAACGTTACAGACACACACACACACACACACACACACACACACAATCTGCGTTTTATAATAAGTAAGATCTTGAAAACGCATTTCGCTAGGATACATATTCTTAAAATATTATGTCCCTTCAGGACGAAAGCGGTCAGGTCTCTCCACAGATTTCTTTTCTTTATTATCTATGATCTGTCATGAATTCCTGAGAAAAAAAAACAACGGAGTCATTTCCCCATGGCTTTTCCACGGTATTGAATTCAGAGATTTCCTTCTCCTAGACTGGCTAAGACCCAAGGTTGTTTTTTTTAACTATGCTGATTCCAATAATAAGAGAAATAATTTTATGCCTTTCCCAATAGCATTAGTGCAAAACGGAATGCGAAAAACTAGGATGGAGCTTGAACTTAGCTCGCCGATTTCACTTTCGGTGCAGATAACCATTAAGCTACCAACACATTCTTCCGGCTTCTAGGTTTGTTTTAAAAAAGTAGTGACTTACCAGGCACGGAGGTTATTGGGTTGCTTCTCGTTTGACTTTTCGACAAACTTCGGAGTGTCAAAAGAACGGTTTTTTTCATCGACACCGCTATTATTTTAACTATCTTCACTCCCCCGGCAATGATTATTGTTTGAAAAAGCGATGATTAGAATTGTAACAGAAACTAGACATATGACAGTGGCTTTATACAATGTCTTTCTTCTTGAGAATTGTCAACAAATATAATAAACACTATTTATGTGATAAAAAGTACATTTAAAAATATAAAACAGAGAGAGAGAGAGAACGTTAAAGGAAGATAACCCCGGATTCGAAGTTAGAACATTATCATTGATAACTCTCTCCTCAGGTTTACGGACCCTAATTACTTTATTCTTAATACTTGATATAATGCAAAAATATCACAATGATAAAATCCATCAATAATTATTTATAACTATTTATACTGAGACTCATGTATGCAGTTACAAGTAATCCATAATGATATTTTAAATTTGGAATCATATTTGTTTTTGACATATTAATTTTTTTAAACTGTGACTAAATCTTTGTCTTGCAATCATTCCGCCTCACCTGATATCCTCTTTCGTCATACCTATAAGGCGCGCCGAAACTTTTGTGGACCACTATCGCTCAAAGTTGGGGAGCCCAGTTTATACAGCTATTTAACCCATAGCTGGGAAGAGAATATTTGGATTCACGCCGTTCGCAAGTGTATTTGTGCGAAAATGAACGCAACAGACCAGATCGGAATTTAAACACGCCCCTACGATTCTGTTTTCCACACGGATAACTCTGGATTGCTTTGCCGTGTGATGTGAGGGATTAACAAGATATTCTCGCAGATTTCTGCCGCAAGTTCGATTCCAAAATCTTATCGCTTGGTACCTAACTAAGCCATGGTGGACGTAGCTTATATGTGACACAAGGCCGAATGTATGGGGCACACAGTGAGGATCAAACTCACTACTCAGTCGTAACTCATCTTGCGAGACAAACTTTCTAATCACTACACCACGCCGAAGTACCTAGTCACAAGTGTAGTAAAATTTGTACCCGACCAAGGTATGAATAGTAAATATCTATATTGGGTATATATATATATATATATATATATATATATATATATATATATATATATATATAATTATTTATTTAAAATATGATTCCAAATCGCTAGATAAGAGGTCTCATGTTTCAAAACTAGAGCCGAAAACTTCAATATAATCCTTTAAATTAAATTGAGTTGAAAGTAAAATGGGCTCCGTTCCATCCTCAAGCGAAATTTTTGTTGGAATGACGTATATCTGAAATTTACTTGTTTTAAAATTGAAATCAAAATCCCCATGATAACAGCTATGGTGAATTTTCTGAATTGGGTAGGCGAGTGTAGGGTGTTTATATTAAGTAGCGGTATAGAGATACTTTCAAGGTGTCAAGTCGGGGAAAGGTGGGGGTGTCAAAAATGAAACGGAAGATGTATTGGCCATCGTCTAGTTTGCTTGTCTATGGAGATTTATTTATTTTATTTTATTTTATTATGAAAGGAATTGTGCATATAAAAAAAAAAAACTTTCGTAACGTTTGTTTTTTTTGACGACTTCATAAAGGGTTATCTTATATGTAAGGTATTTAAACTACTAATTTAGTCTATGGATTATGAAGTGTGTTATGTAGTATGCATGTTTGTAGTTAATTATTCCTACTATGAATCAGATGATTGGGCTATTTGTTAAACAAGTTATATAAAAATTTTTTATCTAATAATTCAAACCAAAAATCTGATGATGCCTACAAAAAACCGTTAACTCGTGTCTATTATTTAATAGATTATTATTATTTAGAAGTTTAATGATGTGCAATTTTTCATGGAGGCACAAAGGGCATGGGTCATCCCAAGCTTTACAAATTCTAGCCTTGTCAATAATTTTCCAATTTGTATCATTTTATATAACTTTTCCCACCTTTCCCCGACTTGACACCTTGAAAGTATCTCTATACCGCTACTTAATATAAACACCGTACACTCGCCTACCCAATTCAGAAAATTCACCATAGCTGTTACCATGGGGATTTTGATTTCAATTTTAAAACAAGTAAATTTCAGATATACGTCATTCCAACAAAAATTTCGCTTGAGGATGGAACGGAGCCCATTTTACTTTCAACTCAATTTAATTTAAAGGATTATATTGAAGTTTTCGGCTCTAGTTTTGAAACATGAGACCTCTTATCTAGCGATTTGGAATCATATTTTAAATAAATAATTATATTTATGCTCTACTTTTGTATCGAGCACTATTTTTTAAAAATAATAACTAAAATACTAAGGGACTTTGGACTATTTACCTAACCAGTTCCTTCCTATTTTCTATATATTTTCACATATTATATATAATATATATATATAATATGATTACATTTTACAATTTTTCTTGCTCGTAATCATTTTTAAATTAATTTTTCATTCTTTCTTACATATAACTTTTTTAGTCCTGGTTATGACGATAAAATACACCCAGGGTGGTAGTATCTGTTAGGGCCCCAGCTATGGGTAAATAGTGAACCTCGAAACAGAAACAAAATACTAGGAAAGTATAAAAACACATTTTATAGCAAAATTAGCAACAATACCTATTTGTAGCAAAATTTCCAACAATAAATTTTATAGCAAAATGACCAACAATACATTTTATATGTTATTAAAAGTATGCATCTGCGTTCACAATATATTTAGTTGAAGCCATAAAATTGTGTTCAAAATATTTAAATTTCGACATTAAATAACCCATAGAGGTGTTGATATGCCGTTAAACAAAATCAACTAAACAACCAACATGAAA